ACGAACTAGGGGGGCCAAAACGCCCAAGCGTGCTTCAGTCCGTGTTGAATGCTCTTGAGATTTTTCGGACCTGGCCCAGGGACACCGAATCCGCCCTCGTCGAAATGCAGCCCCCCTGTCGGACTCGGAGGAGGAAGAGAAGAGGTGCGAGCTCGGTAGATCGCTGGTCAAAACGGCTACCCGTCTTCACGCGGAGTCTGGCTCATCGGACTGACGTCCAGTGAGCGCCCTCGGGGCAGACACCTTTTAGTCAGCCCACTTGTGGGGAGCGGCTTGCCACCGTCCTGGCGCTCCCTGCACCAGGGGTCGGCGAGCCTTTTCTCCCTCGTGATGCCTCTCAGTATTATTATGTGTCTGTATTTCCTGTGTTACGTTGTTCCACGGGTCTGGCACGGGAGTGAACACTCACCCCGACCGTTGCCGTTCCCTTTATCAGACTCGGCTGCCTGAAGTCGTTGTCCCCTGCGTTGGAGCGGATGGCGGCGGGTCCTTGATCGCTCTAACCAGTTGGTCTTTGGCCGTATCTGGGGGGCCCGTCACGGGGACACTGGCTCGGTGCTTGAGTCAGGCCCACACCAGGGGCAAAGTTGGGGGCCGTCCTGGTGTTCGGTACACCAGGGGGTTCCTAGCTCTGTCGTGCTGGCGTCGCCGTTTGTTTTCAGTTTCTTATTGCGCCGATGAGGTTGTGCGGACGGCGCGATTTCATCTTGATATGTTATGTTTTGCCCGTGGCAGTTAAGTTCAAGCTGGAAGAGGGGAGACGGTCATCCCCTGCGTCCTAGCACTTGCCCTGTGCATGCAGTGCGTTGTAATTGCTCGCGCGGACGGCGCGTGGTGTGTGTTTTGTTTTTGTTCCTGCCAATGGCGCACGGCCCGATGCGACTGACCCTCAGGGCAGGCATCCGTGTGCATACCCCACATCTGGGGCGAGGCCTGCCGCCGTCCTGGCGCTCTCTGCACCAGGGGTGGCAGGTCTCGTCGTCCTTGTGTGGGTGGTCGATTTTGGCTTCCAGGTTTTCTTGGTGGCAGCTCCTGCCACTTGGCGCACTGCGCCCCCCCCCCAACACTCCCCGTACAGCAAAGCCTGTATGGCGTGGGCGGGGGTTGGAGTCGCGGCCTCTCCCGCGTCTCCCCGACCTCCTGCTTCCCAACGCGTTGCAAGCTTGGTCGTTCACGAACTTGATGAAATTGGAAAGAATAATAAACAACAAACAAAAACGGAAAGTATCCAATCTCATCGTCCGCATGTTTCCTTCTCCTGCGGAGCCGCCCGTGCCTAGGATATGTGGCCCCCGTGGGAGCTCTGTGGGGGTCCTCCTCGTTGCCCTGTTTGGGCCCACACCTCGGGGCCCTCGGCCTGCAAGCCGCATCTCCCCCCTGGGAGTCCTCCTCCAGAGGCCCCTGAGCAAACGCCCTCAGGCGAGAACCCAAGTTTGAGAAGGAGCCACATTTACTTACTTAGGATGGGGCCCCCTTGAGAGCTCTGTGGGGTTCCTCCTCGTTGCCCTGTTTGGACCCACACCTCGGGGCCCTCGGCCTGCAAGCCGCATCTCCCCCCTGGGATTCCTCCTCCAGAGGCCCTTATATGCAGGCGCCCCTCAGGCGAGCACCCAATTTTGAGAAGGAACTTCCCGTACTTGTGATGGGGCCCCCATGGGAGCTCTGTGGGGTTCCTCCTCGTTGCCCTGTTTGGACCCACACCTCGGGGCCCTCGGCCTGCAAGCCGCATCTCCCCCCTGGGATTCCTCCTCCAGAGGCCCCTGTATGCAGGCGCCCCTCAAGCGAGAACCCAATTTTCAAAAGGAACTCCACGTATCTAGGACGGGACCACCATGGGAGCTCTGTGGGGTTCCTCCTCGTTGCCCTGGTTGGGCCCACACCTCGGGGCCCTCGGCCTGCAAGCCGCATCTCCCTCCTGGGATTCCTCTTCCAGAGCGCCCAGAGCAGGTCCACCTCAGGCGAGAGCCCAACGTTGGAAAGGCTAGCGCCCAACACCCAACGCCAACAACCACGCCAGCAAACTGAATAACACTAACAACATGTACGAACACCAATCACCAACAATTACCACGCCAACGTCACGCCAGCAACACCACCACCAACACTACTAGCAGCAGCATCAGCAACAGGAACACCACCAACAGCAACACCACCACTAACAACACCAGCACCAACACCACCGACAACAACAACACCGACAGCAGCACACACAGCAGCAGCAACACCACCACGATATCACCAGCAACACCAACACCACCACCTATCACTATACCACCACCGCCACCACCGACACCATCTCGAACACCGCCACCAGCCACAGCACGAACGTCACCAACAACACCACCACCAACGCCACCACCACCAACACCATCAACAACAACAACACCAACAACACCAACAACAACAACATCATCGTCAGCCTCAACACCACCGATAGCACGACCACCATCGACAACACCAACCGCACCATCACCACCACAATCAACACCAGCACTAGCAACACCAACAACGACGACGGCGACGACGACCAAGGCAGCGACCACGACACCGCCAGCAACAACAACACAACACCAACACCAACAACACCAACCCCAACCATACGTAATAACTACACCAACACCCACGACATGTCCAACAACATCACGCCCGACGTCAAACAACCACCACCAACAACCCCACCACCACCACCAACACTATACCCCAATCACCATCGCCAGCAACAACACCAGCATCAGCAGCAAAGGCCCCACCACCGCCAACAACAACATCAGCTACACCACTAACCGCCGCAACACCAACAATAGCAACGCCAATGGCAATACATTCTCAACATGTCACACCCCACGGGGGGGGGGGGCTTCTCTACGGAGGCGACCACGCTCCTGATGCCTGGCCTGTCGAAAAGGTGCTTGTCGCAGGTGTGCCTCCTCTGACGTCTGTTCAGGATTGGGCCACTGATGAAACCCCACCCACCACGCCCCCCCAACACCCGTTCCCAAACCACTGCCGATGAGTTCCCCGACGGGTTTCTGACATGCGACCCAGGAATTCCCAGATCCAAGAAGCAACATGTTGCACCCGCGGCCTCACGAGCACATGCAAGGCGTGTTACACGAACTTGGCCTATCACTGGGGGATGTGGGGCCCCTCCTTCTCTCCCTCGCCCTCCTAATCGTCCTCCTCCTGTTCCTCATCCCCCTCCTTCGCCTCCTCCTCCTCCTCCTCCTCCTCCTCCTCCTCCTCCTCCTCCTCCCCCTCCTTCTCCTCCTCCTCCTCCCCTCCGCTCCCCTCCCTTCCCCCCCCCCACTCCCCTCCACGCCGCGCCTCCTCCTCCTCCTCCTCCTCCTCCTCCTCCATCATCATCATCATCATCATCATCATCATCATCTCCATCCTTCATCCTCCTCCCTCCTCCTCCTCCTCTCCTCCTCCTCCTCCTCCTCCTCCTCCTCCTCCTCCTCCTCCTCCTCCTCCTCCTCCTCCTCCTCCTCCTCCTCCTCCTCTCCTCCCCCCCCCCCCCCTCGTCCACCTCCTCTACCACTTCCTGCTCCTCGTCCTCCGCATCATCATCCTCCTCCGATGCGCGGGCTGAGCTTCGGATGGGGATGACGGGAGAACGCTTGGAACAATAAACGTTGACCACAAACTGAAAACGCTCTCGTTCCGCCGCGGCAGGACCGCCGTCGCCGCGTCCCATTGACAAGGGTACACATTCCTTTTCCATCCTCCTGCGCCTCCTCCTCCTCCTCTCCTGCCTCCCCTCTCTTCTCCATCATCCTCTGCCTATCCCCCCCTCTCCACCTCCTTCCCAGCCGCCCCCCTTCCGTTCCTCCCTTCTCCCCTCGTGCGCACGTTTTCCTCAATCGCAGAAGCCCGTGGTTTGTTTTCACGATGTTGCGTTGGTTGTTGTGCCAGCACGCAGACCCGTTCATGGTTTGCAGAGACAGGCCGAAGTCGGTCTAGCAAGTGGTCCGCCTCATACGTGAGATCGGTGGCGTGGCAACGTGAACCGCACGCGTTGGTCAAATGTAAAGCACCCTGCTCCTGATGTATTGCGTCCTGTTCCTTTCCGCCACCTCCACCTCCTCATCCTCGTATGCCCTTTTTGCTCCTCGCCCTCCTCGTCCTCCGCTTCCTCCTCCTCCTCCGCCTCCTCCTCCTCATCCTCTTCCTCCTCCTTCTCCTCCTCCTCCTCCTCCTCCTCCTCCTCCTCTCTTCCCCCCCCCCTTTTCCTCCTCCCTCCTCTTCCTCCTCTTCCTCCTCCCTCCTCGTACTCGTCCTCCTCCTCCTCCTCCTCCTCCTCCTCCGCCTCCTCCTCCTCCTCTTCCTCCTCCTCTTCCTCCTCCTCCTCGCTCTCCTCCTCCCCCTCCCCCTCCCCCCCTCCTCCCTTCCTCCTTCTCTCACTCCCCTTTCCTCCTGATCCACCTCCTTCCAGCCTTCGACGTTTAACGAATCTGGTTTTGTCCCGACACTCACGAAATTTGTTGCGTTCGTTGTTGCTCGTTGTTTATTCTGCTTGCTTCCGCACCGAAAAATGGCGAACGCACGTAGAACGCTGCTGCTGCGCTGCGACGTTCGAATGGGCCTGGATGGTGAACAAAGTTGTGATTCCTCCTTCTCCTCCTCCTCCTCCTCCTCCTCCTCCTCTTCCCCCTCCTCCTCCTCTTTCGCCTCCTTCTCCCCTTCCGCCCCCAAATTCCGTGGACTCTGGGCCGCGCTGCCTCGGATCGTAAGCGCCGCGTGCGCGCGCGTTGGTTTCGTTGCGCGCGTGCGTGTCGATCAGAGATTGCGACGCGTCGGCATGTCAGCGAAACTTTATATGTTCGAGCACTGCTCTACATTCGGAGAGTAGCATGACGAACTAACTTGTTTCATGTCCATTTCATATATGATTATAATGCTATGGCCATTTCGTGCGCTTGTAAAATAACCTTCACGCTTTCATGGCCAAATGATTTGGTCATAGATTCCCTATGTGCAAAAAAAGGCCGGATCCAACCTCAGGGTAATCCTTCGGCTCGCCCCTGTACTCCGTGGCTGGCCTCTTGGCTGCTGAGGGTGCCCCTCGGCGCTTCTGCGCCCGCCCCCTCCCTGGCCTGCAGCTCCACGCCCTCCGTGACGACGTCTGGCTGCTCCGCCTCGATCTTCCGATAGCGGTCCTGCGCCGCGTTCGGATCGGCGGCGGCCGGCCATGGCGGCGGCGTTTCTGCTGGCGCCTTTGACCCCTTTGACCTTGGGGCGACTGGCGGGGATGCTGGCGCCGCCACTAAGGCTTGCCAGTCGGGGCCCGCTTCGCCCGGCTGGGCGAACCCCTTCCACGCAGGGGGCAGGCAGCGCGCTGCTTTTTGCATATGCACGTCATCTCCTTCTTCGGGTTGGCCTTGTCTGGCTTGATCTCTTGGTGGGCAACGCGCGTGGCGCGCAAACCATAGACCCACCAGCGTCTATGCCCATTGCTGCCGCAGTCGACGTTGATTGGCATGCGTCGGCAATGGTAGTATTGAACTGGAACGACTCCCATGCGTCGGATCAGGTTGGTCGGCCAGATGCGGCGGTTGATCATCGCCCGGCCGAACTCGTCCGCGAGTCTGGGGAGCCGGAAGATCGCGGCGCCCGTCAAGGCGGCCGAGGCTGTCTCCGCCCTGGTCAGACCCGGAGGAACTGCCGCCCCCGTGGCGGCGTATCCACTGCTGTCGAGCGTCTCCTAGCTGGGGCCCCACGGTGTTCGGACGCCCGGTTCTCTTCCGAATCTCCGTGGGCCCCTTCTTGCCCTTCGAGCGCGCGCGCTGTGACCCGCGCTCGGACCGTTGACTGATCCGACGGCGGCCGGCATGGCAGCTCCCTCTGGCGATCTCAGGGCTGCTGAATGTCTGAAAGCTAAGATTCTCGAACGCCTGGGCTCGATCCCGCGAGCCGATACGCTGAGTTACCAGCAACGTGGGGATGATGGCTTCCAGACTCCCATGGCGTTGGCCATGTTGGGACCGCTTGCGCCCCCCATCTCGAAGTCCTCGAGCCTCTCGCCCTCCCGCTTCTCGATTTCTCGCGTCGCCCTCCAGAGTCTGATACCTTGATGCACTCCTGTCCTGTGCTTCCTTAGGCTGATCAGGGAGGGCGCTTGGTTCTGGGGGCCTCGCCTTTTCATCTGGGGCCTCTTGACCGGGCTCTTGGGTGCTCTGGGAAGGGCATCTCGTCCAACCGGGCCCTCTCTTGGGCTCTTGCAGCGCACTGAATCCCCGCCGCGGGCCTTCCCTTGAACGGGCCCAGACTCGTCTCGATCGGACAACGCCCTTAGACTGGGTTCTTCTCTCTCTAGGCTCGAGACGAAAGGGGCGGGGGCTGCTGCGGTTGTGCGCTGACTCCTCCGCGCCGGACATTCACGCGCCCAGTGGCCCTTCTGATTGCACGTTGTGAATCGAGTCCGTTTGATGAGCTCCATGATCGGCAATCTCTGCTTCCGTGGGCGTTGAACGCCCGAAGCCGAGCGATGGGCCCCCGGCGGCCTCCTCGAAGTGGTCTCTGGTTTGTCCTTGCTGCGGTCGGAGAACTTCCGATCGACCTTCAACTTTTTCAGGCCCTGTTCTCCTTCCAGGCTGACGCCGCTCATCCTGCGCGGCCGCGAAGGCCTGCGGCAACTCATCGTCGAACAAGTTGAGACCCTCGAGCGCCAGATACGCCTGCTGTTCGCCGTCAGCGTCTAGAGAGGAGACGTTGTCGTCTTCTAGAATGGAAGCTTCATCCTCGCTGGCAACGGAGTAGACCGTGGGCTCATTTTCTGAGGAACTTGTTTCCACGGCGAACGTTTTCTTCTGAAATGAGAGGTGTTCTCGGCGTGTCACGTCGATTTCTCTGATGGCGGTCAAAGCCTCTGAGCATGAATCTTTGGTCTTCTCATCATCACCATCATCAGCTGCTGCCCGCGCTCGTCTAAGCCGACCCCTTCTTCCACGAACTTAAACTTCCAATCGTCGGGAACGGGCAGACCTAGCGTGGCGACCTTGTCGAAAGCCAGGTCGAGGCGAGCGGCGTACTCTGTAAGTCCTTCGCTCTGCTTTCTCCTGAACGATAAGGGACATTATCTGTCTGCTTTCCGCTTCTCGTCGTATATCTTCTCGCCGGACAACAAGTCAAGGCGCTCTAGGATCTTCTCGGCGCCCTGCTTGGAGGTGATCAACGCATCTGGTAGATCCCCCATCTGGATGCGGTCCGCGCGCTTGTGGGCAGGAGCATCGGTGAGCTGTCTCCAGCGGTTGAAGCTCTGGCGCCACATTTTATACTCGTTCCAGCTCGTCCACGGCTCTGGTCCGGAGAAGTCTTTTCCTCTATCATCCCATCACTTGCTGTGCTAGCTGGTGTTCCCATCGTTCCATCCGCAATCACTCCAGCTGCTCCAAGACTCCCACTTTTCATTCTCGTCCTCGGCCGCTCTCGCCCAAGGATCTCTCTGCTCCAGCACGTCTGGTTCGGCGCGACCTCTGGTCCGTCTATCGCCACTCGGGCTCGACACTTGGACCTTGTCCTTTAACCCTCCTGGCGATGTCCTCGAGCTGCTGGTCAGTCAGAACTGTGGACGTCGGTGGCGGTATAGGGGGTGACATTCCCAGCGGTGCTGGCCGCTGCGCCACATCGTTCAACAAGGACCGAAACTGCTCCTCGGTAGTACGGATTTGGCCGTCTTCGTCTGCCCATTGTCTCGCTGTCCCCATTGCCGCACTGACCGCCTTGTGGCCTCCTGTCGATGTGCTGGCTTAAGAATTTGCATCCAGCTCCCCCGACCCCATCAAAGATCGTGGAGAAGCATCCTCAGAGGTTCCTCTACCACTGTTCCCCAGCCGACGGACTCGAAAGATATCTGAATATTCTCTCCACAGCTTTTTGCGCACAAGACAGTTCCACAACAACTATCACCGCGACGCCAAACAAAATGGGAGGTGCAAGGAATAGAATTGGAGTGAAAACGGAAAATATATGGTGGGCTCGGGATTGTCAACGAGCGGGCGAGATCCGGCTTGAGCCAAAGCGGATACGGTGGCACATGATCTCGCCTCTCGCTTCGGTCCAGGAGAGTTCACCAGAATAGTGAGCCAGAGGGGATTATTCCCACAGGAGATCCAATGACATCTTGGTCATGTTCATCGTGTTTCTTCCCTCGGCCCCTCTCGTGATATGTTGTACTCTATTTTCCGGTGCAGGTCGTCACCCTGGTGGTGGGGGGGCAGATGACGGTAACGCTTGGGCGGTATGGGGCACGCCAGGGCGGGGGTCGTGGTCACTAGGGGAACGAATAATGACATAAATATAAAAACTCTGAGGTCCGCGCGGATTTCCCGGATCCGCGCTGGACCCCCCTGGCGGCGCCTCCGGCGCCGCCCCTGGCGCGCTCCGCGCGCCAGGGAGGAGGGTCCAGCGCCGATCCGAGAAATCCGCGCGGACCTCCGAGTGTTGATGTTTATGTCATTATTCGTTCCCCTAGTCACTGTGTTTCTACCCCCGAGCAACGTCGGTGCGCCGCGCTGGGGGGCGCCGCGCCTTCGGTGCGAGGTGTTTACCGGCCACGGGGGTCGGTTCGGAATTGTCGTCGGGGATGATGACACCACCCCCGCCGTGCCTCGCCAGGGCTACCCTGGGCCAAAAGGGAACGAGGAGAAGGAGGGGACAAGAGAAGGAGGAGGAGGATCAGGAGGAGCAGGAGGAGGAGGACCAGTGTAAATCCAAGAGTCACCAACGATGCTGGAACGAACCCTCCCTCCAAGCTCCCTCTTCACCGGCCCCTGCAACGGTTCAGTTCCATTTGGGGAACTGCCTCGTTGGAGGACAACCGTTTGAAGATCCTGAAGCATGCCAGAAAATTGTTCTCGGGATTTTAACGCCACGGATCAACCTCACTGCTGCGTCTCAACGATCTGCAACCGTGCCAGAAAACCATTTTTGTGACTCCAACACTGCGAACCAACATAACTCTTGCACCCGCGTATGTAATCCTGAATGTTAACGAATGTGTGAAGGCGAGGGCCACATGTTGAAAAGAAACCACCCTCAATCCGTGAAGATCTTGCAATTGTTTAAAAACAATGTGCGCGGCGCTAAGGCGAAAACCACATTTTGAAAACGACCCGCCATCAATCCGTGAAAATCTTGCAAGCGTTTAAGACGAATGCACGCGGTGCTAAGGCGAGAGCCACATCTTGAAAACCACCCGCCCTCCATCTGTGAAGCTGTTGCCAGATTGTAAGCTTCAGAATCATGCATGGTGAAGAAGTCTACGGCGAAACCGCCTGGCCCGCCCCAAAAACTGGCCTCGGGGTGCGACAGAGAGAGATTTCTTAGAAGGAAACGAAATTGCGGAGGAAGAGGATGGAGGAGTGGGCCGCTTCGGGCCGCCCGGGGTGACTGGTCGCCGAGCTCGACGAGCTGGCGCAACTGCCCGCCGAGCCTCGCGCGCGCAACGCACGCGCGCGGAGGGGCCATGCGAGAGCGGCCGCTGCGCACCGCCGCGCCACGCTGCCGGCCACGCCACTTCCAGGAGTCAGCGTGCAGCTGTGAAAGTCCACCCCCTTGCTTGTTGCGCCTTCTTCTTCTCCCCCTCCTCCGTCTCCTCCTCCTCCTCCTCCTCCTGCTTTCCTCTCCGTCCTCCTCATACTTCCACCTCCTCCTCCCCCTCCCTCGCCCATCCTTCCTCCTTCCTCTCTTATTGAAGCATGGTGGCTCTTCCTCCCTCCCTCCCTCCCTCCCTTCCTGCGGGTGCACATTGCAAAGTCAATGTGTGATTATTGTTGCTGTGTTGCTATGTTGCTGTTGCAGAAACAGCAAGTTGCGTTTTGCTGTTGCAGAAACAACAAGACTTCGAACAAAACCGAATGGTCAATACGCTGACGGACTCGCAAAAACACATGTCGTTGATACTCTCTCCCCCCAAACTCCATCGTCCAATCCCCCTCCACTTTTCGCCTGGGGCAGCCGAATGGCTCCACACCGCCCCGCCAAGGGGGGGGACCCGGGCCGTTGGTGACGTATGGAATTTTCGGGGCTTCTGCGGCTCCAACTGCTCGTGCTCCCGCTGCTGCCTGTGCTGCTTGCCCTCCACCCTTCCCACCAGCCAGCCGGCCATGCCAGCTTCCCTGTCCACAGGTCGACTCAAGGTTCCGCCCCCGTCCCCCGCGCGGCCTGCCCCAAGAACCGCGGGCCGGCGGGCAGGGGTCGGCGCGCGCATCTCTTTCGCCAGCCCTTCCCGGGGCCGCTTGGGAATGCCTGGGAGCGCCTGGTGGCGCGCCTGGGAGTGCCTTGGAGCGTCTGGGAGCGCACTGGGAGCGCCCAGGTCGCGCCCAGCGGCGCCTGGTGGCGCGCCTGGGAGCGCGTGGGGGCGCGTGGGGGCGCTTGAGAGACTGCCGGGGGACGCTGTCCTCCTCCGACGACGGCGGGCGCCGGAAGCGCCTCCTCCCTCGCCGTGGCCCCACGCGCTCGCGGTCTCGTGCAGCAGCGGGCGCCGCCCGCTGGCCTCCTCGGCGGTGCGGCTGACGGCCCACTCGCGCCCGGCCTCGAGGGGGGCTCTCGTCGTCGTCGGTCGTCCGTCGTCGGTCGGTCGTCGGTCGTGGATTGTCGGTCGTTGGTCGTCGGCCGTGGGTCGCTGTTCTTCGATCGCCAGTCGACGGCCACCTCTTGCTATCGGTGATGCGCCGCCTATGGCAACATGTTTGGAACGATTGCCCGTCGTGTGCAATACTGCACGCGATTTCCGCCTCGGGCAACCGTCCTTTGGACTCGAAAAGTCTTCCCATGCCAGGCCCGAGATGGATCGAATCGCGAAATCCGATCGGATCGGAAACGGATCGGATCGCCAATCAGCGGTCTCGAATCAAATCAAATCGGAAATGGGTCGCCGCGCCTGCCTCCAGCTGGACCCTGCCGATGCTGGCAAATTGCACAAGATCGGAATCGCGGCACAGGCCAGCGAATCGAGTCTCATCAAATCAGATCGTAGGCGGCCCTGGCCGCTCCTGCACTCTCTGCGGCAAGTCATGGGAGCCTCCCATGCCGTACTGCTGGCTTTTGCGCATCGCTGCTAACCGACGCTAGTCGACACCAAATCTACGCTAACCGATGCTAAATCCGCGCTTTCTCATCGGTTGCCAGAAGCTAGCACACGCTTGTGCACTATAGCGGCGGAACTTCGAGGGCACGAAAGGTGACCATGATTTGCTACCCGAGGAGGCAGCCCTGGCGGCTCCTGCTCTGCTGAAGATGGCTCGGCCTGAACAATGTTTTCCGTTTTCAGTGTGTTGCTGTTTTCCCAAATTCTGCCTTCGTCCCGCTCTCGCTGCAGAAAAAACGGAAACGGTCCACGAAATCGCCAAACCACAGTTTAGCTCGAGCCCTGCTGCTGAGAGCGGCGGTCCTTGCATGTCGCAGTAGCCACCGTACTCCTCAGGAAACTCCGTCGCCACCAGGCGCCACGGCCTGCGCGCGGAGAGTCTGAGAGTATGACGGGCGCGGCAGTCGCTGCGCCCTCGGCCAACCCCGAACAGGACGTGGGACTTCATGCGAGCCCATGCAAACTCAATCTTTACTAGCGCGAAGGAAGCCCTGTGGCCTGGAGAAGCAGGAGGACCATCGACAAATCAACGATGTTGCAAGGGTCGCCCTGCAAACCTAAAGCGCATCAGCGAGGTTGCAATAAGCCCTCCCTCCAAGTCTTAGGTCGGGCGTGTCCCCAAAGAGGCGGCTGGATTCTGTGCGAAAAAATAAAAATAGCCAAAACAAATGCTCCAAAATAGTCAAATACATAATTTAAAAACCGTTCCCAGACTATTGTTGACCACCTTCGAATATTCCTCCTGTAGAGGCACATGCCCGACTTAATCCAAGTTCCCTCGTCGTCCCTACCAAACTTGATGTTCACGACGGGAGGGGCCCTTGGAAGACAGCAGTCTGAGGATCCTCAGTGGTGCCGGAACACCATTCGTGGCATGCCAGCGCCGCGAATCGACGCGACTGTTGAGTCCTGACAATCCGAAATCGCGCCAAAGCACCGTTCTTGGGACTTCAGCACCGCGAGTCAACGTGACTGTTGCGTTCTGACAATCCTAAGTCGTGCCTGAGTACGGTTTGGGGCATGGGATTTCAAACATACGAACCCTTCAACGAACGAATGTTCACAATCTGTCGCCCAATCATTCAACCAATCCTTCACCACGGGACTTTCAGATTTTCGCAAAGAATGCGCGCGGCGCTAAAACGAACCCCACCTTATGAAAAGGAGCCGTCCTCCCTGCTTCAAGCTGCTGCAATGTTTGGAAATGAATGTGCGCGGCGTTCAAAACGAGGACCACATTGTCAAACAACGAACCGCCCTCCATCCGTGAAGCTGTTACAAACTTGAAACAACTTGCTGGGACTTGGGGCGAGAACCCCGTGTTGAAAACCGCCCGCCCTGCATGCGTGAAGGTGGTGCGCAGCTCAAGCATCACGACCATAAACAACGGGGAAATCGCAAGCGAAACGCCCGGCCCGCTCTACCGACACGCAGGGGGGGCGACAGGAAGGATTCATGTGTATGAGAAAAACGGATGAAGGAGGGAGGGCGGGGGGGCAAAACAAGGCGCGGCAGCCCACGTCGGGGCTAGCCAGCCCTCGGGCACTGTTCCACATCGGGGAATGCGCCAGAGAATTGGGCAGCGGCGGGGCAGGGGGAACTCCAGGGCGGCGGGCGCCCAGCCTGGCAAGGGGGCCCTGCGCCCACGAGGGGATCGCGGGAGCAGCGGGCTAAGCGCCCCGCCGAGCCCTGGGCCCTCTCCCAAAACTGGTCACCCTCGACGTGCGCGGGGCCGCGCGCGGGGGGGGGGGGGGCGGGGGCTGCCCAGCTTGGAAGGCGCAGGGCTTTCCTACGTTCCCCCTCCCGAAAGCGGGGTTGCATCGGTGCCGATCCCACGCCGCTGCGTTTGCACAGTGCCGTTTCGCTCTGTTCGTCGACCAGGAAGGACGACTGGAGGAGCACGAGGGAGGAGGGAAACGCAAGGAGGGAGGAAGGACGAGAGAACAGGGAGGGGGGGATGGGTGAAAGAAGGGGGGGACGAGAAGGGAAACAACGGTAAGGAAGGCCATTCGCCGCTGCGGCCTTCGCCGAGGGGCGCCGCGGCCCCCGGCGCCGCCGCCAGGGCCTCCGCCAGCCTGTGCGACGCCTTGCGGGCGACGGCGGCGGCGGCGACGGCGAGGTCGTTATCGGTGGTGATGTCGACGAGGACGGTGAGAGGCGGCGGCAGCGACGACGGCGTCGGCGACGGCGCCCAGGGGCGGTGGAGACGGGCAGCGGCAGCACGGCTCGCCCTCGCCGTTCCTGGGCGGCCGGGGGAGGAAGGGCGAGGAGGGGCGAGCAGGGCAAGGAGGAGGCGCCTCCATGCTGATTACCCTCCCGCCTCCCCCTATTACCCCGCCACCCATCCCCACACTGTCGACCCCAACCCCACGTCGTCGTCGTCGTCGCTGTCGCCAACGCCTCCGCCGTCGCCAACGCAATCGCCGCCATCATCGTTGTCGCTGACGCCGTTCGCCAACGCCGCTTTCCTCAGAGAAATCAAAATCGTCGTCATCGTCGTCGCCAATGAGGGGAAAGTATTGATACCAATACCGCTACTCCCTTGACCTCTCCTGGGACGCAATCTGACCAGAATTTCGAGGCGAATCCAGCCGTGGCCACGAGGGCCTCCCAGGAGGCCCCGAAAGGGGAAAACGAGGGCATGGTGGCGGAATACTTACCTTTTCCTCCTTTGAATCGTTGCCGTCGTCGCCCACGTTGTCAACGTCAGCGCCAAGAATCGGCGTCGACCCGTCACCGCGGCCGCGCCGCTGGCGTGCTTGGGGAGCGCCTTGCAGCCGCACGCGGCCGCGCCAGTCTCCTCACCGTGTGGGGGGGATATCTGTAGAGGCCTCCCAGATGGGTTTCGAGTAGATGGGGTCGGAAGATCGCGCCGCATCGTCGATGCACCACCGATGCATCGGCGATGCGTCGTCGACGTCGAGAGTGCATCTGTCACGTAGGTGTGGAGAAAATCAAGATTCACATCGAGCTAGAACTAACCTCTACCTTGAATTACGTGGGTCTGCAGCCCGTTTTATTATTCGCGATGGCGCCCGTGACCGGCCCCCCCACGCCCCCCTCCTCCGACATCCTGGTCACAACACGATACGCGCTGGCGCCGTCTGGGAATGAACCATCTTAAGCATTCCCAGGCGGCACCGGCGTGAATCGTGACGTGACCAGCTCCTTCCCCCCCCGCCACGCCTGTTATTGCTAGGAGATCAAAAAACGGTCTCCTTGTGCTACGTGAGTCTAGCTTTTCCCCTTTGTCGCTTGTCTGTACAGTCCTGTCTCCATGTTGCTGTCTGTTAGGACGCCTGCCTGGGCAGAACGTCAGGCAGTGACTGGCTCAGGGGGGGAACATCGAGCTGGAATCGTAGATGCACCGCCCATGGATCGGTGACAGGCCCCCGATAACGAAACAGCACGCTCCTGAGGTGCGGGCTACCCGGCCCGTATCTCGGGCAAGCGCAAACATTAAGTCAGGCCTGTCCCCCTACAGGATGATTTTGGCGGAAAAATTAAGAACACCCCAACAATACCCACCAAATGCCCCACAATAGTAAAAAAAAAAAGTCCCCAGACTATGATTGACTACTTTTGAATATTCCTCCTGTAGAGGGACAGGCCCGACTCAACGCAAGCATGGACTACGGATCCATGGATCTGGCGATGGGAGGCGACGAATCCACGTACCGAGGCCGCCGTACTGGGCCGGAGAGCGCACTGCCTCTGCATATGGAGGAGGGGCCCTCCGCTGGTCCACTCGCCTCGATCCGCGTCTGCGCTTCCTCGACGAGGCATCGGCGACGAGTGGGCGATCCAAGGGGCCTCCTCTTTCTTCGGCAGGCTGCTGGGCGAAGACGCCTCCTCCCTCCTCCTCCCTCCTCCTCCCTCGTGAGGGTCGGTCATTCCTACCTCCACGTGAGGTAGGACGTCGTGAGGGGCAGGGAGGATGCCGATACCTCGTGCTCCTACCTCGTGAGGGTCGGTCATCCCTCCAAGTTGCCTCGGGCGCCCCCCGATTGCCGAGAGCCGCGAGGCGGCTCGACAGGGCCGCGGCTCGCACCTGCTTCGCACCACTTCGGGGGGGGGGGGGGGGCGTGCAGCGTGCAGAGCGTCGGCGCCGCCGCTGCCGCCCTCGGCTTGCCCTCATCTCTCGCAGCTCTGCCCGTGACAGGGAGAAGGAGGAGGAGGCACCTGGCATCTAGCTGCGGCCCGCGCATCACGGATGATCGCTGGGGGGCGCGCCCCCCATCAGGGCGTGAGCGAAGCGAGAAAGGGATCTCCTCATGTATCCTCCTCCCTCCCTCCTCGCGCCTCTCTGCTGCATCCCCCGCTGCCCCCTCCTCCCTCCTCCTCCCTCCTACTCTCCTCGTCCTCGCGTGGGGAAAGACCGTGCGTAGGCATTCAGGATTTCCCCCCGACGCCTGACTCTGCGAATAGACTGGGTTTCCATGCAGTGGAGAGGGATGGGGGCCGAGGGCTGAGGGGTAGGACGTCAGACATGTGACGTGGCGCCTCGGCGCACGTACCTGGCCAGCTTGTCTCCGAGGAGGGCCGCATGAAACACCGGCGGCTGTCCCGCCCGGCACCAGTCCGCTCGACACCGGCCCCTGGGCCCCTCCCAGGGTTCATCCTGACCCGTCTCTCGAGGCGGATCCGGCCGAGGCCCCAGAAAAAATGACGAGAAAGCGCCAGGGATGGCCGCCGCTGTCCGGACTGGCCCTCCTCCGGTATCTGGCATGGGGGAGCCGGGTCCTGAGGGAAACGGGTCCTGGGCCCCGGGGCCTCCCCCCAGGACCACTTGCTCATCCTGAATCGCTTCATGGCAGTCCCGGGGCCCGTGGAGGGCCCCTACAACCCGAAAACAGCGACAACCTCAAGACCCGTTTCCTCCATGGCGAAACGTCCTTCATGGCGAAACATCTCCCCCTCCGCCGGCGTCCCGCCCCTCGCCCCGATGCCGACCGACCCCCCGCTCGGGCCGGCGCCCGTGGATCGGCAGCAGGGCCCCGGCAGCGAAACCGCACGCTCCTGGGCGGGGCCGGCTATGGGGCCCCCTGTCGGCGAGCACTGGGTGAAGGAGGGGTCGCTGCATCCCCCCCCGTGAGCCCATCCCCCTAACGATATCCTCGAAGGACTGCTGGAACCCCTGGAGGCACGCCAACAAAATCCAACGCCTGGACGTTTGCAAGTCGGATGTCCCGACCCTTTCCCCAAGGGCTGGCGTCTCGCCCTGAGCTGTTCTTTGACAGTCTTGGGGCCCGCCGATGGCCCCCAGACGCCGAAAACGATCGAAAACCTCTGACCCGATGTTTCGTCAAGACGCTGGGTGTCTTCTGGGTGTCCTGCGCCCCCTCCCTTGGCTGTTCGCCCCGCCCCCGTCGTTCACCAATCGGGGGCGGCGATAGGGGCCCCGCGGGCTCCTCCTCGCCGGCGCGGGCGCCGACGAACTCGGGGTCGCCCTCCTCGCGCGGGGGGGGCAGGATCTATCAGCATCGAGTTGGGAGAGCGGATCGTCGTCCTCATCGTCGCATCGGGCTGCATCGGCACGGAGTCGGAATCGAATCGGATTGGCTGCGCCAGGATGCACAACGGCGCCATGCAACCGTCGGGCCGCACCAGATCATCAGAGTGTCGGCAACGAATCGGGTGGACCCAGCCGAAATCGATATCGAATCGGATCGATCGGATGAACTGGACACTGCCCGCCCTCGTGGAAGGGAACTTGACATATGACCGATGTGAAGAAACGGGTTTTGCGCGAGAAGGCATCGCGCCCTTACGCCGCGGCGTACGCGGGCCGCCAGCGTGACACACGGCGTGGAGAAGATGGCGCTCACGCGCAACCTTACGTGGCAGATTACTCTCGAAGGTCCACGAGGGCGACCCCCTTGTTCTGCGTCGCTCTCACATGGGCATCGGGCGACCACAAGGAGCGCTGAATAAGAAAGACAGAGGCTTCTCTGGCCGAGGCGCGCCTTGACTCCAAAGAGGTTCCCCGACCCCGCCCTCGGGAGCGGCCCAAAAACTAGAGCCCCTCCTGAGCCAATCGTGGTCGGACCACGATTGGCTCAGGTCGGACCACGATTGGCCAAGACTCTGAAACAAGGGCCACTGGCCCTTGTTTCAGAGTCTTGGCTGCACGGGCCCCCGCCGCGCCACACCGAGGCAGCACCGCGGGCGCTCAGGGGCGGTCCTAGTGGTCACCTGACGTCGCGCCCTCGCGCCCCGCGGTGCGCGACGCATGGTTATCCTCTCGCCCTCGACCTTGTACGGGCGGCGTCGAAAAGCGTTGCCGAGCAATCCGCCACCGCGCCGCTTAGCGCGAGTTGAAGTGCCCTCAGGCCAAAGGGTTTTTGGTTCATTGAAGGGGCCCACAGACCCGATTCCTGGGAGTTCCTGGGCGATCTGCGGACACGGGGAGCGTCGTCGCAGGACTTTCCCCACGCAGGCTCCCAGGGCCCCCCCCGGGGGCTCCAGGGGCCCCCTCAGAGGCCCATCGAGGCTCCAAGAGGCCGCCAAGAGGCCCCTGAGAGACCACAGAGACACCCTAAAACTGTTTCCAAGATGTTCCCGAGAGGCCCCCCAAGAGATCCCAACATGCATCCAAGAGACCTCTGACCTACAACCAAGGCGTGGTGGCGGGATGGGCCGAAGACCGCTGGATCCGCCGCCCCCTGTTGGCTTGCCGCAGGGGTGCCCGGCGCGCTGAATCCTATACCGCTCTTGGTTTTGGTTATTTTTCTAAACAAGAGCCCCCCAGTTTGAAGGGGACCGGGAGACCCGACCCACAGCTTCGCCTCAGGCGAAGCCCAACTCCAGCTCTGTTGCGCCGTAGTAGCGATGGCCCCAGTCGGAGAAAATCGTCGCGGGAGCGACGGGCCATCTCAAGCGAAGGATGTTTTCGGTCTTGATGGCAAGTAGCGCGCCTCGCAATGAGGCGCAGTCATGTGTTGACGGCCGGCCGCCCGAGCCCAAGCGGCCACGGACAAGCGCTCGCTATCTCTCGCCCTTGTCCCAGCTCACATTAGAGTCGGGGGGGAAGGAGACGAAGTGCGAGTCCGCCGCTCATAAACAGTGAACACTATATGTACAGAAGGCGGCAAAAGGCGGGTTCGTGAGGGAGGTGAACCCGCAAGCAAATGCCCTTGCGCGCATGTTGCCTTGCGAGCAAATCGCTGTATAAGCGAGCGCTACGCAGGCTGCCTCAGGCGATGTTGTGTGGCCGGCCCGGTACGGAGTACGACGTTTTAAGTCATGCTTGAAGGTTTGCGCTCCTCCCATGACCTGTAGGGGCATATATCTGTCAATGCTCTCTTTTGTGTGACCGTCCGCGGTCATGTCGCGAGTGTCACACCACTGGATACCATGCACAATTCCTCGCTCCATCATCTGTCGCATCCAACTGGTGTGTCCCAAAAGAGTACACTCAGTCGGCTGCTTCAAGTCTTGCTTGGCAAGATCTTGAGGACACATTCAGCATCTATGGTCAAAGTGACCTTACCGCTCATGCCACCCATCTCCAGTGTACCCTGCAACTGAGCAAGTGTTAGTGGCCCTGCGTGGAGTTCGTGCAGAGTAAGGGTCGTGGGATAGCAGTCCTCAAAGTTGTGGGCTGCTGCTCGTGTTGCTGCTGAATAGCTTGAGCGGGCCTGCAAGCGATGAAACTTGCAGTGCGCATCGATCCGGTGGACGACAGGCGCGCCAATTGGCGCGTTTCCACGCCGTGGCAGGCTTGCGCCGCGAATGCCATAGCCTTTGACCTCGCCCCCGGCATCTCCACTCAGGCGTCGATAGCCGGAGTCGCTATGCAGATCAACTTCGCCCGTTGGAGTCATCGATCGATAGACGATCTTCCTAGGGAAGGACTGCAGCTTCCCGGTGATCGCGCTCAGTCGTCGCACCTGTCTGTTGGTCGGTTCTTGGACACGTGGCAGAGAGACCCCATATACCATCAACCACACCGGTGTGGTTAATGCGTAAGCCAACGCGCATCTGCGATGCTTTGGCGTCGGCGTCTGCGCCCGTGAGTTCAGGATGTTGTGTAGGACGGAGCTGTTTGATGTATTCATCTTTATCCAGTGTAACATTGCCGCCCCCATCGTCCGTGCATGTCGCAGCACACTTGGTTTGTGTGTTTGTTACGTTTACCCTTGCCAGAGGTGCCCTCGACGCACTTGGCGCGCCTGTCGACGGCGCCCTCGGCGCCGGCCACATTGATATCATCAACATGTTTGGCTGTGAGAAGGTCACTGCTTGTCTCAAACTCACCATCGTAGGACGTGGGTCTGAGACCACAGCCCCCCGCGGCTGTTTTGAGCTTCAGTGAGAAAGCTCTGGGCGCATCCTTGGTGCCGGTGCCTGGCTTGAGGCGCTGCGAGCAGTGCTTCGACTCATCGCAGTGCTCGAATCCTGGGATGGGTCGAAGCACCGATGCCGGTCCAGGCGGCAATGTAAAGCACATCACACGTTCCTCCTCGCCGGTTGCCTCAGCCAGCCCCTGGCAGGTTAACCCTTTCAGGGAAGCCATGTTGATGTCAAGGGAAGCAATTATGCATTGCTTCTTGCGCGCTGCCGTCTTGCGAGCAATCTGACTTGGCCGCCGCGCTGCTCCTGAGAATGCTTCCACGTCGAAAGCCTCGAAGGCCGAGCAACCCCGAAGTACCGGGGTAGTCTGATGGCGCGTTCCATCTCGCACTTGTCGTGCTTGACGAACTTCCGCAAACATTCGTGCCTCGAAGCCATGTTTGACGCTTTGGATATATCTTGCATGTGGAAACAACTGTTGCCAAAACACGTTTTGACATCAATATGGGGCCTCTGATACATTAGCTGAGTTCGCCTGAATGTCGGCCTTCGCGAGGAGGTCGTCATCCTTGACGACCGCAGCTCGTTTTGCGGCGGCGGTTACATATACTCGCACGGTGGTCACGCGGCCGAAGTCTAAGATCCTATGTTGTTGTTCGGATAGGGCTACCTTAGACATTCTGCAGTAAAGCAGAATTCCATAGATTGGCCATGTTCGCCCGAGTCCAATCCGTAACTATGGTCTCCGTCCGTGGAACATAGTAGGACATGATGCGTTTCCTCGGCGTGGGAGTCGCGTGGACGACCCCACGCGGGCAGGTGCCCCCGCTGTTCTTCAGCTACCATGACCAGCGCACTGTTGTCAGTGATCATATGCGTAGGTACTGTGTGGAGGTCATCTAGTGGAGTTGCCTCAAATAGTTCCCTTTCTTCACGTAGCTCTGTGTACCACACCTCCATAATATGTGTCTCAAGGTCCGCTTCTGATTCCTCGTAGATCGTAGAGAGCCGTCCATCCTCCCGTAGCGGTTCGGCTTCTGAGGCTTCTCTGACGTTGTTGTCTTGTGTGGGAACGCCAGCTCGTTCCTCGAGCTTCGCCATGTCTTGGCCGAAGCCCGATAGTGGATTAGTCGACTTTAGGCACTGGATGATCCTCGAATGTGCTGATCCGATTATATCGTATATATTCAGGGCAGTGCCTTCGGCTTCATAGTAATGGAAGCCTGGATCCACGTCGTTGTCGCGATGTGCCAGTGCGCAGCTGCCAGCATAAGCCACCGAAGGTAGTTTGTGGATACTCTTAGCTAACCTAGCAGACACTACATTCTCGATACGAAAGAAATGCTTGAAACAAGTATTGTAGAACTAAGCGCACCCTGGGAGATAGTCGGCTCGCACGTGTCATCTGAAGCGTTCCCCTTTTGGTCGGGACATAGCCAAACGTCATAGCAGGTCTCCCCGCAGGTAAACTGGCAACAAATGTCAGCACTGTCCGCAGCGCAACGCTGTCAGAACCAATTTCTCGGGCTATCGAAGCCGCTGGCCTGATGCGCATCTGGCGCTCCAGGGTGGATTCACCAGCTTCGAATCGAATAGGTGAGAAAGCCGGCAGCTGCATCGATGCAGCCATAGCTGGACTGCTCGCAGGTGTCCCTGCTGCATTGCGATTAGCCGGTTGCGCTGCGCGGCTCAACATTCTGTTGGTCTGACGATCTTGATGTCGGCGCTGCGGTGTGGCCTGCGTGGCCACGTTGGCCTGCTGCGCCTCGTGTGTAGCCGCATCTCCCCCATGGTCGGTGGCAGCATTAGGCCTGGGGCCTGCTGCTGCACATCTTGATCCATGGAGGGCGCCGAATAACCATAGCGAGGTATCTGCCCTGGCACACCTGATGCATATCCTGAGCCAGGCGTTAACTGAGACTGATTGAAGTCGTCGGCCGTCGCCCGAACATCTGGTTTTCAGGCAGTGTTCCCGCCCGGGCAGTTCCACTCGCCTGTGCATGATAATCAAGAAAGAAAGGATGATCCATTGGCGCTGCCGTCGAACGATCGGCAGCTGTTGGATCGTAAATCGGGTGGCTGAAGAATGCTGGTACATAACCACACCGATCGAGGTTGTCCGGGGAAGGATTTGGATCCGGAACATACTCCCACGGCG